TAAAATATCTATTTTTTTTTTTTTTCATTTTCTTATTATTTTAAAGATCGACTATATCTTACGAATTATTCTTTTGGCTAATAGGATCACCTGCACGTACTGTCGGTTGGCGTGACCCGGGTTTCATTCATACAAGTTTCCTTAAAGATTTGTGGCCAAATACTGAGTAAGTTCGTGAAATGCTTGGCAGACTAATTCGTGAAATTGTTGACTTGAAATAATCTTACTGGCACTTTTTTTCTTTTTTTTTTTTCGGTTTGTTTTTGTTTTTTATCGGTCCCTAGATACACCTACAAGATTGGCCACATATTATCGAATGGCTCCATTGTTTGGAGCAAGGAATACACGTTCAAATCATCCCCATATCCCGGACAAAATTCATTGCAGCGTGTNAACCAGATAATATAATAAAAATTTAGATGCCACAAATGATCTAGTGTAGTGATCAGTTTAAACTAATGAACTTTTCTCTTTTGTGCTTCTTAAACCAAATTAATACAGTTAAAAAAGATTCCGTATAGTGATAAATGGAGGGAGAAAACATTATTTGAGACCAAAATATTATTCTCGAGTCTAGACTAACAAAAATTGGTTTGGAGGGAAAATAAATAAAGAGAATGTAAACAAACAAATGAAGTTGAGTAGGGGTGAGTATTTAATTAACTATATTAAACTCAAGTAATGAAAATTTTCAGATTTAAATTGTTGGATAATCTTTATATGTATACGTTGCATTTTTTTTTCTTACTTTCCCTAAATGTAATTGATTTTACCTTGCCGTAACTTTGTAGGCCGAGCGTGATGGTTCGAATGAGTATAGCAATTATCAGCCTGGCTCGTTAAACACAACCGACCAAATTATCAAGGATTTGAAGAATATCGACATAGTTTTCCACATAGGAGATTTAGCATATTCCAATGGCTACATTTCCCAATGGGACCAATTCACAGCTCAAGTCGAACCTATAGCATCCAAAGTGCCTTATATGGTCGCTAGGTTTGTTCCTTTTTCATCTTCCATATAATACGCGTGGTGACATTTTATTTTTTTTTTCCTATTAACCAATATATAAATCTCATGTTTTTTATAAACAGTGGAAATCACGAGCGTGATTGGCCAGGGTCGGGTTCGTTTTACGACACACCGGATTCCGGTGGAGAGTGTGGTGTTCCAGCCGAGACAATGTTTTTTGTTCCTGCTGAGAACAGAGCAAAGTTTTGGTAACTAACACTTCTTAAATTAAACCTATTTTTGTGTTGAATCATAGAGTATGGAGTTTTTTTTAGTATTATGTGATTTTGTCAATCTTCGATTAATTTTCTTTTGATGTCAGTTAAACAAGAATGCGAGAAAAAAGGTGCATGCTAATACAAGGTTTTTTTTTAAAAAAAAAAATTCAATCTCAACTCAAATCTAACGCAGCATTAACTCAATCTCACTATCTTAATATTATCAGTATAATTAAATAATACCATCAGTTATCCTTACACATCATATCAACCTTAATTTACTATTCATCAACTCACATAATTTTAACTAACCATTACTTTCAATCAACTTTCTTCTACTTTTACATCAAATCAACTTTAATTATTTTATTTTAAATATTGTTTTAATACAAACTCAAAGTTCCACTTAAACCTAACCCAACCTACTTCTCAAAATTAACCCTGTTTAACCAAAAAAAAAAACAAAACTTATAAACAAGCCATCTTTCTTGTTTTCTCTTTCTTTTTTGCCTTCCTATAGTTGCACCATCT